AAGAAAGAAAGAAAGAAAGAAAGAAAGAAAGAAAGAAAGAAAGAAAGAAAGAAAGAAAGAAAGAAAGAAAGAAAGAAAGAAAGAAAGAAAGAAAGAAAAGCAACACAAACAGGAATTTGGAGGATGAATATGGAGAATAGGTATTTAATCCCCAAACTTCTTTGCCTGGTTTTGTATTTTAAGAGTGACTTGGGCTGAATGTGGAAGCAGAGGAGGACATGGGTTGAGGTGACACAATCCATGACATGTGGACTATTTCTCTGTAGCTCCCTTCTCACTGCAGAAGGAGGAAGAAGTAGAACTAGCCAATACAGCTCACTATATAGAAGAGCTTTAAAGAAGCTTAGGTTCACAAAAGGAGGTCAGTGCTAGGTTTGGAAAGAGGGGCCAAGGAAAGAAGAGGGTGAACAAGTTCATGAAAGACTAAAGCCTGATTTGGTGGAAAGAAATAAAGGACAATAATCAAGAACACAAGTATCTGGAATCCAGTTCTAAATTGTTTGCCCTTCTGTGATATAAACTGTGCCTCATTCTCCAAACATTCATTCAGTAAAGTCTATTACACATAAATCAAAGTCTCTTTATGATTGTGTGTTTGTGGAGTGGGCATAGATAAATGGAATGGAAAACCTACATACATGGGGGAAAATATGAAATAATGACAGCTCATTCAGGACATTCAAACAACATATGAAACTGGGGTTGGTTAATTTCATCTGAATCTAAGAGGGAACAACTCATTCTAACATCTGAGTTCGATGTTGAAAAAATCATGAAGGTGCCTGGAATATATAGTCCACACAGGGTACAAAGCTGAGCAGGGAAGAGTGGCTTGCATTTAAGGGACTGTTAAAATTACTGATATAAATGACTTTAAAAGGGGAAACATTTATTTTTGCTCATAGTTTTAGATGTTTCAGTCCATGATCACTTTAACCTACCACCTTTGGGCCTGTGGCAAGATGGTATTTAAGCAATGGGCAGGAAAGAGTTTGCCTATTTCTTTTGTGTCTATATAATGCTTTGATGTTTACAAACTTTATTTAAAAGCAGTGTGTCACGTTATACTTGAAATGGTCATTCCCTGACAACAGGAAAAAATGTCTTTGAGAGAGATGAAGTATTCATAATAATAGAGTGAGTTAGGGACATTCACCAACTTTTACCAGGGCCTAGTGGTCAGCAATGTGGAACACCAGATCCTTAGTCACCTGAACATCCCTGCCTACTGGCCATGGGAGCTTCCTTCCTGTGGGATGTGATAAGCTGGCACAGCTGCAGAGCCTAAAACAATGTTGAAGCTGATGGATTCATGGAGCACCGGCTGCCTGGGTACACCTGGGTGCGATGAGCTGGGCGCACTCAGGGACATCTTGGTGCTTTCAACCCCCAGTCTGTACTGGGTCTTGTCATTGACAGTTTTGACTTGGCCTTCCCAGTAAGAGAGCTGCTGGGGACAACTGACTTCCTAATACAAGATTGGCATATGCTCTGGGAAAATGACTCACCCCATCCCTGAAACCAGTGTCTGATCTGATTTGAAACACTGTGTGGGAAATATGATGTGTGGCTCTTTAAAATATGGATGCAAACAAAAGGATCCTTCTTTTGATCTTCTCTTTCTTCAAACTAACATGGACCCGAAATGTAGAACTCCCTGTCTCCTCTCTTCTGGGCTACATACACCGAGGCATTCCCAGGGCAAAGAGTACCCGAAAAGAAAAGATTGTGTGGAGAGCAGGATCTGCCTTCTATTTTACAAATCATTGCATTTTTCTATTTCTAAGGGGAATCAGGAGAGGGCCCCAAGGACCATATTCATCCCTGTTTTACAAATGGGACTCCACTCAAGGAGCTTCCCATGGAGCCACGCTAATGTGGATAGTTGCGCCCTGAGCTGGGTTTTCCTGGGGAAATTTTCCCAGGAAATCTGCCACTCCAGCATTTCAGAGCTGCGTGGTGATTTTAGATGATCTGAGTGTGAATCCCGGATCTGCCTCTAGTGTCTATGTGACCTTGGGCAAGTTTCTTTTCTGAAATTCCGTTCAAAGGAGAATTAGAATGAGGATAATAATAGTACTTGCCCCACAGGGTAATCCATTGTCATCTCTTAAAAGTGTGAACTACTACTACTGTTATTTTACTGCAGAAGGAGTTCCAGCTGACTCCCATGTTTCCCAACTGGAGTCACATCTCACATCTTGCATCTCCAGAAAACATAGATAGGAGAAATTTAGATGTCTCCCTTCCTGGTAGAAGACAGGCATGTCAGGCCTGTAGAGCACAGTAGAGCTCTGTGACCTATGGAAGGAGCCTGGTCAGCTGTGCCCAGCCCTGTGTCCAGGCCCTGCTGCTCACCACCTGTGAACTTAGGCAACCTATACCTCTCCAGGCCTCCTGTCCTTCTTTAGGCCCAGGCACAATGCATAAGCCCAAATGCAGCTATGAGAGAAAGAGATAACATGTATGTCGACTGCCTCATGACAGGCTCTCAATAAATTGAAACTAGTATTTTGGTTCTTATTATTCCATCTGATCAATAGCTAATCCTTGTGACTCATGACAGAAGTGTTTGTGTAAACACAAACACACTTAGTTGTTCTCAGGTTTAGACAGTCATGCCTTTGGGTGTGGCTTTCTTCTCTTGGAAGTAATTGGGTCCAGCTACTAATTTGAAGAGTATTGAGGGTATTATGGTTTGGATGCAAGCTATTCCCCCCAAAACTCATCTGTTGCTGATGCAGGACTGTTCCACAAGTGAAATAATTAGATTATGGGATTGCAACCTGATCAGTGGATTAATCCATTTGATGGGATAATAATTTGCATGGATTACTGGATGGTAATTATAGGCAGGTGGGCATGGCTGGAGGTGGTATGTCACTGGGGACATAGTGTCAGGGATTACATTTTGTCCCTGGCTTCTTGCTCTGTTTCCTGGCTACCATGAGCTGAGAAGCTTTCCTCAGCCATGCTCTTCCACCATGATGTTCAGCCTCACCCTAGGCCCAGAGCAATGGAGTCAGCTTGCCATGGTCTGAACCTCTGAAATGGTGGGCCCAAAATAAACTCTTCCACCTTTAAGTAGCTCTTGTCAGGTATTGTGGCAATAGTGACAAAAAAGCAGAATAAGAGATGGAGAGATGGAGGAATTAAAATGGAAGGGTAAAACAGAAGAATAACCATAATGCCTATTGATGAAACTGCATATTACAGCTTACACACAGCTCTGAGGTTCACAATATTCTTTCACCAAAAGTGCCCCAGGACATATTTTAAGTGGTGATCAAAATCAGTACCCCAGACAAGACCATTCCTGGAC